AAAGCAGCTTTTCGTCAGTGAGGCGCATGCCGATGTCCATGCCAGAGGACGCAAGTCCATAGCCACCAGGTAAGCAACGGTTTCGTATTTATGCTGATGCTGTTAGCTGCGGATGACCTGTGCAGTGGAACGGCTGGCCGATCGATCAGCCAGTGGCTTAGTGGACGGTGACAAGCACAGAGCGGTGCTCTGAGCCAATGTTTTCCGGTCATCCTCTGATCAACGTTAGCCACACGCTGTCGAACAGGCGTGCCGATGAGGGTCCGCAAGGATCGTGAATGGAGAATTGAGTAGTGCGAATGTGAAACCTTCAAATTCTGTACACATCATTTTAACTCAATAAACATTATAGGAATGCATGAACTTCAGAACATGAAACGTCAGAAGCCTAAACCTTTCGACACGGGCGACGTAAGAAGTGCCAACTCTTTTGACCTTACTTGCAAACATATCGACTTGGGTGCCTCAGTCACTTCCGGAAAGCGAGCACCGAGCCGCTGCCGCAGGGAAACGTGCATTCGGTTTATTTCAGCATTTGTATTAGCAACTGTGCGCGCCGAGCCGAGCAACGTTTCGTCGCTGAAGAGCTTCATGCGAAGAAAACGCATTTGCTGCATTTTTCGACATTTCATTGCCTGATCCACCATCAGCGGCCTTGTTTCTGTCTTTGAATGGTCAAATTAAGATTTGCTACATTTCAGATAAATAATATTCTTTGTAGACATTGTTGTAACGGCTCTTGTCACGTACCTGTGCAAATACGACTACATATTTCGCTATGAAATGAGAGCTCTCGGACAACACGGATCGCAGCTTTTTCAAGGTTACGATTACGGATGAGGTTTTTTTGGCACTCCCGTCAGTTGGACAGACGAACATGCATCAACTACTATTACAGTATGCGCTTGAAATCAGCAGGTACAATTTTTAAAATCTGCAAATTTCAAATTTTATATCTCACGTTCATAATCTGTCGTTGCTTGCTAGTGTGTGTTTTAAGTGCGGTAAAATACCATCCGATGGGGGGAACGAACATGCCGATCGTAAAACAGGTTGGATCTTGTGGGCAAGCGTCATCGGGTACCGTTTACCTGCGAGCGAATCAGTTTTACTTGCTGATCACAGGTCTACTTTCAGGAAGAAAGCAGAGACGCCGTGTTAGAAGGCCAGCGAAAGCTTCTAGTGTAAAAGAGAATGACAAACAACCGTTGAGACCGATTGGCAGCGAAACTGCCCTGCAGCGCAAGTCTTCGTCGCAGGACAACTATTCTCGCCAGGATCAGACCGTGGACTGGTCGACAGTCCTGTCGAACGAATGCATCAGTGCTATGTCGTACAGAAACGAAGACAGCAGCTCTATCGGCCTAGGTTTAGGCTTAAAGCATCTTTATCGCAAAGTCGTTTTGAACCAACCGCCGTCTACTCCGGCTGATCACCACCAGCAGCCACCGCTTTTGGGGGCATGTCAGCCACCAAATGCCCCATTAGCGCTGTTTGCACCGTGCGTCGTTCCCGTGCTGTTAATCCGTTCACCTTCCACCTATGAGGTATCGACTGTTGGGCTATGGACGCACGAACTCGGCGGCTTTGTTCGTCCTGGAATAGAAAATGTCGTACCATCCGAATTTTGTTGATTAGAATATTTCTGATTTTGAAGTACATCTTAAAATTTTCTTGCATGCTTTATGCGTAAACTGCATGCGTAGGATATGTAAAGTTTCGAACATATAGTGCTAGAAAAGTTGATATAAACATCGTTGTCTGTTAACGAATGTAATTTAGAATCCGTCCCACTATTTCCTAATGTTATCCATCTGACGCTGCTTTGATCCATTTCTTATGTAGCGTTCGAAATTATGAACATTTGTCCATGCATCTGCCCTTTTAATGTAAACGGTGGCTGTTAATACTTGAGTTATTAATAGAAGCGACGGTTGCAAAGACGAACTGTCCTTTCTGTTGTCTGATTTTGAGAATTCATTGCTTGATGACTATGAAAAATGTTGCTTTGCATAATAAATAAATGAAGAATATGTTCAAGGTAACTAACTAAGGAATAGTATTACAGCGAAAACCAAAAACAATTGTAAACGAAACTAAAAAGCCATTGAAAGTTAGTTTATGCTACTACGATATCAACATTTCCAAAGTCTAGGCAGTTCACTTACAAACAGCATTTTGATACTGAATGCAAACAGAAGCAGATTAATTTATATAATTTTTTATTCCTAATTGGTTTGCAAAACCTTTTCTTGCCAAACGGAATCTACCACTGTTCAGAAGTAAGTGTGTTTAACGTCGGTCCAAGTTGCAGTATAACTGCTCCTTGAACAAGATCGGTTATGTCGGGATCTTGAAATTTTATTGATTCACACATTTAATTATTATTCCTCTTTGATTGACTGAGCGTGCGAAGATCCAAACTACAGATCTTGTGGCCTAACTTCTTTTCTGTCAATTTAACTGATGACTGAGATCAGTATGATCGCGCTCAGCGAAAGTTCTTTCGTTGGCAATTCGAAATAGATGGCAAGAAAGCATATGATATAACTGATAAGGTATTGCGAGTCTCAGAAAGTCCAAGAATGGTTTAAATTCTGTTATGTACTATACATGATCACATCTACGAGAATTCCGGCATCACCAACTCGAATCGATTGCCAAACGACAAAGGAAAATATCGCGGATCGGTGAATGACTAGGAACAGCCATGGACCGCAATCTTGCGAAGGTCGACAAGCAACCTTTTTCGGCCGGGCTTCCGTACCTCAAAACGCAAATTCCAATCGACTGACGAGTCATACCCAGTCTGTGCAGCATTTCCGCAGATCTCATCATCGACGTTTAAGCGCAAATGTCCTGCATTTTTTGAGGATTGACGAAAACGTTTGCAATTTTCTTGCAACACCTATGTAGTCATTATCTTTCACTGTTAAATGAATTGTAAATTGTTTATGCTTCTGTTTTGACTACTTTACGTCTATTGTGGGCTCTGAGATCAGGCACCACCAGAAGAACAGCATCAACCCTCAATAAAAGTGGGCAAACAGCTCCTGATCATGAATCCAGATTAACGCTCTTCGCTACAGCTGCTTTCCCATACCTCTGGTGCATATGTACATGAACACCAAATACTTTGCATATCACAGCCTACAGTTTTATCACTCTTTCGACAAGTCGACTAAATACGCTAAATAGCAAACCGCCATTTGTATTCTGAATAAGATTTTTCGCTTCTGATGAATGAGTGCAGAATTAAGACGGTTTCGACAAATACCATATCAGGTATTGCATACTGCAGACAGTCTAAATAATACAAAATACTGGGAGAAACATCTG